GGGCTGGAGGGGGAGAAGGGAGTCCACTGAACGCGTGACATGTCCGTGGTCTGAAGGGGAATCCTGCCTCAGCTTAAGGCAGGCCAGAGCAGCAGCTGAAGCTCACCCACAGCCAGAGTCTCCCCGGGCTGCCCGGAAGCCCGGCAGGGCGGCCACCTTCAGGAAGGCCAGGCTCTGGGCAGCGCCGGGGACCACCCGCTCTGCACATTTAGTGAGACCGTCTCTGAGCCACGCTGGGTCTGACGAGAGAACCATGCGGGCAGCACCTGCAGCTCATGTGACCTCCCGCGGGCAAACACACACAACCAGCCTCAACACACACGGGCCCTCGGGACCATGGACGAAAGCTGCTCATCACCCCTTCCTGCAACTCATCTTAGCACTGGTAGGTGACAGGCTGCAGCACTGTCACTGGAGACAGGACAGCTCAGAAGGTGGGGCCCGCCCCAGCTGCCCAACAGCCGCACGTGGAGGCGGTGAGACGTGGCCCCCCGGAAAAGGTTTCTGAACATGCAACAACCAAACATTAATTCTGAATAAACCCTGTCACAGTGCGCCTTTGGCAGTGTGTATCCAGGCCACGTCTCGGCATGATAAGGGGGTCGCCAGGGTGGGGAAAGTCTGAGTGGGAAAAAGTTGAAGCAGCCCTGATCTCGAGAATATGTAATAAATTAACATTATTGACTCCTAACATGTGGGAAACTCATCACTGCTTCATATGTACAGTTCAGTGGTGGAGTTTTTGAAATGGGGAGAGAAGTCCAAGGAAAATGAAATATCTGAGGCTGGAGAGCCAGGACAGCAGGCAGGGCGTTTGCTTCGTAAGCAGCCAGTGCAAGTTCCATTTCTGGTACCCCACATGGCCCCCCAAGGCACCAGGAGTTTCCCTGAGAGCAGAGCCCAGAGTAAGGGCTGGGCACCACTGGGTGCAGGCCTTCACACACACACACACACAAAGTAAAATGTTTAAATAGGCACTTAATGAAGGATCTATTTTGTATAGCATCTGCATGTGGAAAATCACAGGGTTCTGATAAAAGAACAAAAGGAAACCCAAAAAATAAATGGGAAAAGACCATGTTCGACAATAGGAAGAAAGTCAACTTCCCCCAAAGCACTCTAGAGGCCTGGATGGAATTACTATCAAATCCCAGCCAGCTCAGCGTCTTTCTTTGGGGGCGGGGGGGAGGTCAGGGGAGGACCAGAGATGCTTATTCCCAAGTTTATCTGAAAATTCATAAACTCCACAATTGCTGGAACAATCCTGAAAAAGAACAAAGTGGAGGAACTCACCCTTGCCAACTGAATTTCAGCTTGGTGAACAGCTAAAATTGTGGAACCCGTGCAAGGCAAGGCTGGAGGCTGAAACCCAGGTTAGAGTTACGGGTACTGAACTGAGAGCGAGTGAAACATTGATACAATCAAACAGGGCGCTGAAACATTGTAGACTTTAAGGTAAGCCGGAAACAAAGTAGAATGAAACTTTTATACCAGGATAGATACAATGAAACAGGGAACCCAGACAGGACTCAGGCATGATTCCCAGAGACTTTTCAAGGAGTCCTGATAAAGGTGCAAAAGGACTCCAAGGGAAGGGTAACATTTCCCACAGTCCATCCTGAATGAACAGACACCAACTAGGGAAAGAGCCTCAGGTGCAGAGAGCCCAGGGGGGCCAAGAACTGGTCTTACAGGCTTCCAATCACAATTTGATGTGGCATCGTACGGGTCCCCGAACCCTACCAGGAGCAGAAGTAAGCCCTAAGCACCTCTGGGTGTTACCCAACACCCACCCCACCCCCCAAACACAAAATGAACCTAACCCTCTCACTAAGTTAAAATTCTTTTTCTCAAATAGATCATGAATTTTACTATAAAACATCAAAATTAGGGGCTGGGGAGATATAGTAAAGCAAGTAAGGACCCTGACCCAGGTTTGATCCCCAAAATCCCATATGGCTCTCCTGAACTTCACCAGGAGTGATCCCCAAGTGTGGAGCCAGGAGTACCATCACCTGGTGTGGCCCCAAAACCAAATTAATTCATTAAAAGTTACAAACATTCTTGGGCTGGAGCGATAGCACAGCAGGTAGGGCGCTTGCCTTGCACACAGCCGACCCAGGTTTGATTCCCAGTATCCCATATGGTCCCCTGAGCACTGACAGAAGTAATTCCTGAGTGCAGAGCCAGGAGTAACCCCTGAGCATTGCCGGGTGTGACCCAAAAAGAAAAAAAAAGTTACAAACATTCTTCTTTTTAAGAAGTCTATTTCTAAACAGAGTTCTTAAAACTGACAACTAAATGATGACTTAGGAAGGAAAAAATAACAAACTGACCTTATCAGAATTCAAATATTTTTTTCTCTGCAAATGTCCACATGAAGAAGGTAAAGGAAGAGGCTGAAAACTGGGAGCAAAGTATTCACAACCTGTATGTGCAAACAAGGACTAGTCTGAGATAATACAATGAACTCCCAAAACTCAATGGCCACGAACCAACGCAACAGTCACTGGGGGCAGCTAATCCCACAGTGCGATACCAGGATGCCAAAATGCCTAAAATGATGGGAATACCCGGTGCCAGTGAGCATGAGGAGAATTGTATCCCTCGGACACTGGCTGGGTCTGTCTCATGGTGACATGATGCGGGGAGGAAAACCATCCCACAAAACTACCACGTGGGGGCCAGAGAGATAGCACAGCGGGTAGGGTGTTTGCCTTGCACGTGGCCGACCCGGGTTTAATTCCCGGCATCCCATATAATCCCCCAAGCAACACCAGGCATAATTCCTGAGCAGAGCCAGGAGGAAACCCTGAACATCGCCGGGTGTGACCCTAAAAGAAAAAACAAAAGAAAAAAAAAACAAAACTACCACGCAATTATATCACCCAGAACCACCCTCTGAGGCATCCCAGAAAAATGGGAACTTCATTCCCATAAAAAAAATCTGCACAAGGAATTCCGGATCAGCCCTTTGCTTGAGTCCAAGACTGGAAACAGCTCTGCTGTCTTCCCGTGAATGAGCAGGCCAACATAACTGGGCTAAGGATGCCACAGAAAACCATGTGCCAACCACGAGCGAGCCACTGGGGAAGTACAAGTGACAGTCTGGATGCGTTTCCAAAGAATCATGCGAAGGAATGAAAAACGTCTCGGATGGGGAAGATGGCTCAGAAGGCTGAAGTGCTTGTTTGCGTGCCCCGAGTTTCTCCCCACGGCCTGGCACTGCCAGGAATGGCCTTGGTGGCTCACAGCACCCCTGAGCCAGAGGGCTGCTGTTGTGGGGGAGGATGTTTTAGTTTTGTGGGATGATATTTTCCAGAATGGTGGCACCATGAGATAGTCCCAGCCGCAGTGTTCGAGGAGCATGATTCTCTTCATGCTCACCAGCACCAGGAGTTTTCCTCATTTTTTGTTTTAGACATTTTGGCATTGTGGCATCTCACTGTGGGCTTAATCATGGGGGACACTGGGTCCCCATGTGATTTTGTGGGAATCGATGACTATCTCCACTCCAGGTTCCATTTAAAAGTATCCAGGACCCAATTTGGGTTCAATTCCCAGCATCCCATAGGGTCCCCTGAGTACCACCAGGAGTAATTTCTGAGTGCAAAGCCAGGAGTAACCCCTGTGCATTGCCGGATGTCACCCCCCCCCAAAAAAAATACTAAAATAAAAAATAAAAGTATCCAGGAGAGTGGTGGTGGGATTGGAGTTGGAATATTGAATGCCTGTAACAAATCATCAAAAAACTTTGTAAATCACAGTGTGTAAAGGGGGGGGGAGGCTCCAGAGATCAAAGATGGCTCAGTGACCCGAGCTCAGGGCTGCACACAGGAGCACCAGGTTTGACCCTCATCACTGTATGACCCCCAGCACTGCCAGGAGCGACCCCTGAGCACTGAGCATTGCCGCGTATTTTTTAAGGAACACACACGTGGTAGTGTGTTCCTAAAAAAAAAAAAAAGACGTTTTCACTGATGTGAACTTTAAAAAAATGACCTTTTATTTAAACACTGGAAGTGTATTTTCAAAAGATAAAAAAAAAATCATCATCTGGGAATATCATGTCCCCCCCTCCAAGATAAATTTAATCTAATTTACATACTTCTAGCATACCAATAACCAAAATGTAGCCACTGAAAAAAAGCTAAAAGGTCCATCAACTCCTGTCTAATTGGCCCAGTGCTGCAAAATTTAAAAATTGATGTTGTGGGGGCTGGAGTGATAACACAGCAGGTAGGGCATTTGCCTTGCACGTGGCCAACCCAGGTTCAATTCCCAGCATCCCATAGGGTCCCCTGAGCACCGCCAGGAGTAATTCCTGAGTGCAGAGACAGGAATAACCCCTGTGCATCGCTGGGTGTGACCCAAAAAGGAAAAAAAATTGACTTTCTGTATTCCCTACACAAAATGTGTTCCTTAAAAAGTGACTCTAGGGGCCGGAGTGATAGTACAGCGGGTAGGGCTTCTGCCAAACCTGGGTTCGATCCCCGGCATCCCATATGGTCCCCTGAGCACCGGCGGGAATAATTCCTGAGATCATGAGCCAGGAGTAACCCCTGAGCATCGCTGGGTGTGACCCAAAAAGCAAAATAAATAAATAAACTTTTTTTTAAACAAGTGACTCTGGGGAGTTCTATATATAGAAAGCATCAGGGGAAAGTGAGAGGGGGCATAAGGGAGCCCACCGCACCCCCTCCAGCTCAAGCCTGAAGGCTGGGTCCTTGCCCTGAGTCCCCTTGGGGCGGGGCGGCCAGCCAGGAACCTCATCTCTGGATGCATTTCTTTCCCGTCATTATACTCTGCTGTGCATGGGAAGGGGCCAGCAGGGGCAATGAGGGTGATGACCGCAGGAGGGCCTTGCTGGCCCTAGCTCTGTGACATCAGAGCTCAGGGCTGGAGGGATGCCAGGTGAGCAGCAGCCGGAAGCCAGAACCACCCCTGTGCCTGCCCTCAGGAGGGCTTCCCCTCCCCCTGGGGCAGCCTCGCCCGAGACCATGGTGATCCCACAGGCGGGCAGCAGGGGGCGCGTGGCCGGCGAGCTGGTGGAGCGGAGGAACAGTCCGAGCGAGGACAAGAAGCAGGTGAGGCCAGCAGGGCCCAGGACCAGGCCTGGGGTCTGACTCCGAGGCCAGACCCCGGGGGACCCCGCAGAGAGGTCTTAGCTCATGGCTTTGGTGACCCCCCGATTCCAGGAAGGCCGGGAAGTTCCCTTCTGTGTCCTGCAGAACCCCGGCTGCCTGGGAGGGGCAGACTGAGGGACCGGGCGCGTGAATGGGTGCACAGGGTGACCCAGAGGGCTCGTCCCCCCGCCTGTAGTACAGTGTTTGTTCTCAGGGCTGAGATGGAAACTCAGAGGGGCCAAGTAACTATTACTGTCCACAGCCTGGAAACACACACACACACACACACACACACACACACACACACACACACACACACACACACCCAACATGACTGAAATGTTCCTGAGAACTGACCTCATCCACAAACCCCAGCACCCCATTAGGCGCCCCCCCCCCAAGCCAACCAAGGAACTGACCCCTGAGCACTGCCGGTTGTGGCCCCCAAACAGGAAACAAAAGTAGATGAATCCAAGAGTCGATCTGTCCCTTGAGGATATGTTAGAACACACCAACCCTGTTCTGGGGTAACAGAAGGCAGATTTGTGTTTCCCTCTGGGCCATCAGGCAGGTAAAGAGTGTGGGGTTGCAAGGAACTTTCTAGAACTTTCTAGACTGTCGGGCCTACGTTCATGCCAGGGTCGCCGCAGGGAAAGACAGATGCGCTGGTCAAAGCACATCCATGGGGACATCTCCAGTGCCTACATGAACGCTCACTGGAGACAGGGGAGTGGCAGGGTGAAGTGAGGAAGAGGAGGGAGGGAGGGACAGTAGAAGGCCATGAGTTGCTCTGTCCCCGGTTCTCCCCGCAGACGCTGCTGGCACTGCTGATCTTGGTGCTGTACCTGTGCACTGGCATGACAGGTGAGCGCCCTGGGCGGGGGGGGAGGGTAGCGGCAGAGCTCCTGCGCTGGGCAGTCTGGGCTCAGTGCTGGCCCAGGAAGGACTTTGGTCCCCCTGCCGCTCTCTGCCTCTCTTAAGGGGTGCCCTGTGCGTGTTGCAGGAAGAAGCTGGGATGCGTCCGAGAGAATCCGAGGATGTAACCTCGCCCAGAGCTCTGCTGCCTCCCCGGTAACGTGTCCGGAAAGGCACTGATGGAGGGGATGTGCGGCAGGGGCGCAGTCTGGGAGGGCTTCCCCGAGGCGGCTCTGGCAGGCCGGATGTTGTTGGCGGCTACATAGGAGTTAGCCGGGAGGACGAGATGTGATGGGACTTGGGGCAGGGTTGCAAAGCTGGGGGGGTGGAGGGGGCGGCGGGGGCGGTGGTCCTGCTTGACGGAACGCTCAAGGCGGCCCGCGTGTCCGCCTTCCAGGGCCTGAACTACCCGGCCAGCGAGCCCCGGGAGCAGCCCATGAAGGCCCTGCGGCGGTGGCTGAAGGAGAGCCTGCAGGTGCTCCTGGAGCGGCTGGAGGGGGAGGTGCGGGAGCTGGAGCGGCTGGTGCGCGACCTGGAGGGCTGGCTGGACGCCCTGCTGGGGGAGCCCCCTGAGACCTGCTCCAGCCTCCGGAACCACGCGTGAGGGGCCCGGAGAGGCGTCCAGGGCGGACCCCGGAATAAAGCCACTGGGGCACTCAACTCGGCGGTTGCGGGTGCTTCTGGCGCGGGGGGGGGGGGGGCGTCAGCTCGGGGCTCCGGGAGGATGCTCGGAACAGCTAGATAAAGGGCGGGTGGGGACAGGAGGCAGAGGTGGGGGCAAAGGGCTGGTGTGTGCCTACCAGGTGCTTTCGTATTTTATGGGAACTCCCTCCCAAGCCTCCCTGCGCCCGGGTGCCACTTGGCACCAGCGCTCCAGGCCAGCCTCTGCGGCAGGGACTGGTATGTAGACTGCGGTGGGGGGGGGATGGGGAGGATGGATGACCCCCGGCCTGGGGGCCCTTGGGAAGATGCTACGGCCGGAAGAAACGAGCCCACGTGGCAATGAAAGACGCCAAGGCACAAAGGGGGACAGCAGATGAGATACGGCCCGTATTGGTGGTAGCGCCATACGACCCGTCCCAGGATGGGAACAGGTCCAGGTGGGAAACCCGGAAAGCCGCAGCTGGACCCTCGCCACTGTCCCTGCCCACTCTGTGTCACTACGTGACGGTTCTGCTGGCAGACGGGCCATCGCTGCAGCCCCCTCCCAGCTCGGCTCCCCTGGACCCTTCGGGGACGTCTTCCGACTCCAAGCAGGCCTCTGGCTTGCCCCCCTCCCATCCCGGAGAGGACTCGGAGCCAAGGATGCTTGTTACGGGAACCGCCCTCCTCGCTCACGGCCCTTTCCTCCCCTCCCCCACCCCATGTTTTAATGGAGTCCTGCGCAGAAAGCATTCATTAGAACCCATGCCGTTTCTGGGAAGTCCCAAGGGTCCCGTTTACATAATCTCAGAGGCCGCCGGACACCGGGAGCCACCGGCAATGCACTTGCGGGAAGAGTAAACCGCTGGCCACCAGGGACAGGACAGCTTCTGGGGGAGGAGCCTGGCCCTGTCAGCTCCTTTTGCCAGCACTTCAGCAAGCCCTCTACAGGGGGCGCTGGCGGGCACGGCGCCGTGCCCAGTGTCCCACACCCCAAAGCAGGCACAGCTCTTCTAGAAGGACTGGAAAGTGTTCTGGGACAGTCAGCAGAAGGACTTTGGAAATAAAGGCCAGGCAGATGGGCCTGATACAATTAATTTTAGCCTGACACACACGCGGGATGCCAAGTTACAATCCTTTTGTACGTGTCTGTGGACAGATGTTACATTCTGCGTCTACAGGAGATAAATACCCAGAGATTTCATAGAACAGCTTATGTACAATACGGTCATGTATATTTTTACGAAAGGGGAGATGAACAGGAAAAATAAAAGAAAATGAGGCGTGGACTCTGGAGGGGTGCAATCATGTCGGAGGGTGCTGGCGGTCTCTGAGCAGAACCATGAGCCCGCATAGGGCCCTGGGACACCCCACACAGGCCCCACCAGGGACAGTCCCCGCAGCACTGGGCCCTCCCTGCTCCCCACCCCCACCCCCCGAGAGAGACTGAGCTGAGAAACACAAGCCCTGAGCAAAGGGGCCTGTGAGGGCACGAGAGAAGACGCAAGCTGGCTCTTGCCGAGGGCAGGTGGCCAGTTGGAAGGAAGCCCTGACCCCCTGGTCACCTGCACGTCCCTCGCGGGGTTCTGGGGTGGTGAGGTCAGTGCTCAGGCCAAGCAAACTGGGAAAAGCGATCATTTTCTCCCCACACCCCACTCCCTTCTGGCCCTTGCCTTCGGCTATTTCAGGTTCAGAAAAAGTCCTCTCCCTTTTGCTCTGTTTGATGACTGGGAGGGGATCCGCTTTTCTCTCTGGTGTGACGGAGGGGACACGTCACCATCGGCCTCTGGGCAATTCGTGCCTTCAGGCCAATGCAGCAGACACACACTCAGAGAGGGGCACCTTTCTGTAAATCGGGTGAGGTGAGCCAGGGCCCACGGCCACTTCCTGGATTCCCACTCAAGGGTGGGGCCAAGGGCTACTCTCTCCAGCATCTGGAGGGGGAAACTGAGGCATGCAGCAACCGCACCGAGCATCTGCGGGGAGCCAGGACTCGAACCCAAGCCGGCCGGGGGCTTCAGTGTCTAAGAAGGATGAGACCTTACAAATTGGTTTGGGAAGAGAGCATAGAAGTGGTTACAGACAGAGTAATAGAAATGACTCAGGAGCACTGTGATGGTTGCAACCTGATAAACCTAAGCTCCGTGTACTCCAACAGGGGCCCTCCCATGAGTACCACATGGGCCACTCCACCCCTCCACAGCCAAGACCCTTCTCGCTCTTGCCAAGTTCCCCTTGCCTTGTAAAGTTACCTAGGGCACACTCCATTTACAAGGGGCTGAATATTCCCTGCAAGATGCTACATATCAGCCCGTACAGAGAGCAGAGGGCGCGTCCCCAGTCCACAGAGGATGGAGAAACAGGTCAGGCAGACAAACTGCACCGACCAGTCAGCCGAAGGCACCAGAGGGGCTGCCAAACTAGCAACGCGTGTGTTGGCCCAAGGAAGGGTTCCGGGGAGGGTTGGCGCTTTCACATGGAGATAGGTTAGTCTGGTTCTAGGAAGTCCTAGGGCTTAAAGATCCACTTAGCTCAGGCTAGGGGGGTATGTCTTGAGGAGCAAACAGACACCATCTGCTTGGGGGCAGCCCAAGGCCCTGCCAGCGAGCCCCTCATCCCAGGGCGGAACTGAAGACCTCACCCCAGGCCTCAGGCTCCCTTGAGAAGGGCCTAATAAAGGCAAGGAAGAAAGACCCTCGGGTGGGGACTGGGGCCCTGGGACTCCGGAGGAGACTGGGAGAGTCAGTCCACTCCCAGTCTGCCTGTCTTTGTTTTGATGCTGTCGAATAAAAAAACGTGGCTTTCATTTGCTCCCTTAATCCAGAAATTTGTTCAGCAACATTGTGAAATGCGCTAAATCCAATTAGGTCCGAGTCTGGCGGTCAGCAGGATGCGCCCGAGCGCGGGGGCCGGGTGGGGCCACAGCAGACGCCTTCCCCGAGCGTCCACTCACTGCCCCTCATGGCGACACCGCCGCAGCCTTTGGGCCGGGAGAGGAGGGACAGGCAGGGGGCCGGGTGGGAAGGGTGAGGCGCTCAGGGATCAGGCCAGACCTTGGCCTCGCTCAGAGCTAGGGGAGGGGAGCCTGTGTCACAGGGGGTCCTGACACATCCTCAGGACAGCCACGGCCAGGCGCGCCAGGAGGGCTGGTGTCCAAGCACCCCAGGGTGTTCAGACATGGGAGAGCCTGATGCGAGCCCAGAAAATCTGGAGGGGTGGGGGACCCCAATTCTGCTGCTCCTCTCAGCTCTGTCCCCGGTCCCAGCACCATCAGCACCTGAGCTCCAGGTCCGGGTGTACCCCAGGGAAGGGAACGCACCCCGAGATTCTGTGCTCGGCACAGGGGCAGGGGCAGGGGGACGGAAGGACATCTGAGCATCACAGCTGCCCTTTCCCACCTGTCCATCGGGCGTGTCTGGGGGCAGCCGCCCCACCTCTCTGCAGGGCTCTCAGACCACCAGCCATGTCGCCTGTGGGCTTCACTCCCCAAGGGCTGCAGTCTAGATGCTGAATTTTTTTTTTTCTGTTTGGGTCACACCCGGTGATGCACAGGGGTTCCTCCTGGCTCTGCACTCAGGAATCACTCCTGGCGGTGCTCAGGAGACCCTATGGGATGCTGGGAATCGAACCCGGGTCGGCCGCGTGCAAGGCGAACGCCCTACCCGCTGTGCTATCACTCCAGCCCCGATGCTGAATTTCATTAAAAAAAAAAAAATGGAAAAGCAGACGAGCAGCCACTGGGAAGCCTCTGAAAGGCCGTGAACCATGAGGGTGTGCGGGAACGAGGGTGGTGAGTGGGCTGGCAGACGCCGAGGCGGGTGCGGACCCCCAACAGGAGACTGGTTTCCCTCCCCCCCACCACAACAGCAGAGAAGCTGACCCACTGGGCCGCGGGGGTGGCCGAGACCTGGTTGCAGCCCTCCCCACCCCCCACCCCCACTTCTCCACTGTGACCTCACTCTGAGCAGCGGGGTGGCGGCGAGTGCAGATCTCCAGGGCCTACTGCGGGGATTAAGCGGGAAGAGTGAGGTTTTATTTAGTGTTTACTGTGCTCTGGGCACGATCCTAGCTGCTTTACAGCCACCGCCTGCCTTATGGCTTCAGCACAACCCACCTCCGGGCCAGGTAACCCCCCGGAGCCTCCACTGCACACCCACGTCTGCTCATAAGAAGACCGGGGCTGAGGGCGGGGGGCAGGGGGGTTAAAATCTCCCAAGACACAGTGTAAGCAGCAGGGCCAGGACGCAGCCGGCTGGGATGGCGAACGCCAGGGCCACGTACTAACCCCACACCCGGAGCTCCTTCCGGATTACGTGAGGTCACGCAGGGACCGGCCAGGCAACCCTCACCTGTGATGGAAGGTCCCTCGCTGTCCCCCTCCCGCTCCGGCCAGCCAAGCCGCTGGGGCAATGAACCTGCCCTTCAGGCTGCCCACGGCCCCTCCCCGCGTCTCAGTTACGCTCCTTCCGGACCCACTGCGGGCACTGGCCTGGCACGTCCCTCCACATCGGAGCCCCCGAAGTCTGCCTCCCTTGTGAGGTCTCCTGGCCCCGGAGCCTTCGTCCCTCCAGCCTCTCCCCCTGCACCCTTTCCTCCTTTCTGCAACACACACAGCCAGGAAGGAGGCCAGGGCAGGGCCACTGCAGGGGAGCACAGGAACTAGGGGTGTTTCTTGGTTGGGGGCTACACCTGGTGGGGCTCAGGGGCCACTCCTGGCTCAGTGCTCAGGGACCACTCCCGGCTCTGTGCTTATGGCTCACTCCCGGCTCTGTGCTCAGGGCTGGCTGACTCCTGGCTCTGTGCTCAGGGCTGACTCCCGGCTCTGTGCTCAGGGACCAGTCCCAGCTCTGTGCTCAGGGCTGGCTGACTCCCGGCTCTGTGCTCAGGGCTGACTCCCGGCTCTGTGCTCAGGGCTGGCTGACTCCTGGCTCTGTGCTCAGGGCTGACTCCCAGCTCTGTGCT